CATCAGCTTTAGCTGAGGCCTTCCTTGACCCCCATCCACCTCAGCAGGCTTCTCTTCAACTAGCCTCCATCCTCCTCAGCATTCACCACTATCTGTAATTATCTACTAGGTATTGATTTGCCCATCTCCCCACCTAACATGAGAGCAGAGACTGTCTTGTTATTGGGAGTCTGACGCAGAACCTGGTACCTAGTGAGAGCTCAAAAAGTATCTGTTGAAGAAATAAGTAATAGAGGAATGAATATCCCTGGGAGAAGCAATACCATCAAACCTCCCAAATCAGACCCCAAATGGGCCCATCTTGTACGACAAACTAACATCTCTCCCTGTGGTAAAATAAAGCCTGCCTCGTGCACACACCAGGACTTCCCTTCAGTCATACTATCTCCTCTTACTAACCAACAGCAGTCTTATTACTGACCACCTTTCCCTCTGGAAACCACCCAGAATTCCTTGGCTCACAAAACTGGAACTCTACCTTGAAGTTGAGCCAAGGTCACAGACTCACATTTGAGGGGTCGGGTAGAGAGGCCCTGACGCCCTCTGGATGGCTCCACCTCTGGCCATCAGCCCTGTCCTTCAGAGGAACAAAAACAGGAAGGGAGCCTGACTGAGCCCTAGGAGTCTAGGTGAAGCCCTGGTGCCTGTCCACCCTAAGGCCCAAGACAGGGAGGAAACAGCAGGTGGGCCAAGGGTCAATACCTAGATACGGTGTTTGGGAAGAGACACTTCCACTTCCCACCCTAAAATCAGACAAAGCCTGGCTTCAAATCCTGACCCCAATCCATATTTCTGAAGGCCACACAGATGCTATTTCATCACTCTGAGCCTAAGTTTCCACAGTCAAAACAGTTTTCAGAATTTCTGCTTTAAGAAGATTCTGGCGATTCTGCCTCAGATGTTATGTCTGGCCACATCTACCCACCTTTCAATCGCCCAGGATAAGCCCATTATTCGGAAGGGAAAAAAATGCAACTCAAAATCAGTCACACTCAGTGACTTCCCTCCCCCTCCAAAAAAAATCTGGGTTTCTCAGACTATTCTGAGACTGAGCCACCCAAGCTGATTCATATTTACTTAACTCAAGTTAAATAACAGGCCAAGCTGACTCCTGCATTTAGCATATGCATGTACCCAGCAGCTACTCCATACATAGTTTTCAATGAATGAATCAAATGACACGATGGCTTGTGTCCACATGGATCCTACTGATCAAGTCTGATCAACCAAAATTCCATTCCTCACAATCAGTACTAATTCACCTTGTGCTTTGATACCACAGACAGACATGTAGCAAGAAAACAGATTTAGAGCATCACAAGGTGGAAGACTTTGACAGGTTCCCTTCTGATAGAGGCCATGGGGAAATGTGCAAGTGGGATATTAAACCTCTTTATTTTTTTGGAGATTGTCAAAGTCAGCTCCTCCAGGGCTTATGCCTCCATAAACCAAAGGGACTTTTCAAAATAGAACAGCTACTCAGCAAAAAGCAAAAATTAAAAATTAATCTTCATTCCACATGTGGGCTGTTACCAAATTTTGCAAGGATGTTTAGCAGAAGCATTCCTCTTTCTGTTTTGCCTCATAAACACTGAACAAGGAGAAACATGGCCTAAGATTGAGATTTGGCAAAGGAATCCAATGAAAACTGTCAGCTCTGCCACAGGGTGATGTCCTTGAAGGCGCCTGGTAATTGTATGATTAGCTAATTTTCTGCTGTCCTACCTCAGTCTTCATGCAAAACTTGGTTTCTCATAGCTCATACATGCTCGTCCACCCAGCAGCAACCTCTCAGGGCAAGAAAGGGCTCTACCCTGAGGGTCCCACCCCAGCACCCTTTAGTCAAAGAAAATGTACCTACTAAAGCAAACCCACAGAAAGGTAAATGAAGAGCCAGCTAGCTATTCCCTTTACAAAAGAAGTTATTTCTCTTTTTCCCTTTTCTTTCGTTTTTTCAAGGGTTTTTTTTTCTTTCATTAGTTACATTTAACAGATGGAAAAACTGAGACTTGGAAAGGTTAAGGAATTTCACCGATTTTATACAGAAAAGGTGGAGCCAAGGTTTTTTTTTTTTTTTTTTTTTTAATGCCTTTATAACGGATTTCTACTAGCACACAAATTGGCAAGTGCCCTTGACTGGGCAGAGGGTGGGATACCTCAACAAGAGGTAGGGTAAAGGTAGTGTCCTTACAAAACACAGCGTGCCTGCAAAGAGCACTGGACTAAAGTGAGAAAGTCTGGGTCCTCGTCCCAGCTGAGTCACTAATGAGCTATGGGAGGGATGCAAGTCACTTCACTTCTTTGGTTTTAGTCTCCTCTCCCAGAGATGGATAATCATTAACAAAAAACAAGCATTACCTACTTCCTGAGTTAATGGGGAAACCAAATGAATATGGAATTATCAGAAAATACCAAGAAGACCTGTATTGTGTATACATATGTAGGAAAATAAGAACCACCTAGAAAATTACCAGCATCCATTCTTGCTCAAACTACATGCATTTCCTCTTACTAATAAAGGGATCAATTGCAACATGAGAGATTTTTGTGAATCAGGATGAACACACAGCTCTTGGGGAATGTGCACTGCTGTTCTGAGGACATGTGACCCACTCAGGAACAGGCAGCCATGTCTGGGTGTCCTGGGACAGTCACACAGACATGGGTCTACTCTAGCTCTACAGGGGATCAAGCCCTAAGCCTATTACCGTATGTTGACCGGACACTAATAAGATGCTAGGAGTGCCCAGAACACTCTGAACACATTGTGAACAGGCAAAAGAAACCACTAAGCCACAGGACAACATAGGTGGCCAACTGTGAGAAATGTGATGGGGATATAGGTCACCTTCCTGGTTACTTACAGGTGTCTCCTTCCCCATCCTACCAGGTCCAGGTAAGTTCTTCTAGCACCCTTTCCAGAGGACAGCAGTTAAATGTCTTCAACAAATCACCATCCCTCCAGGAAATCCAAAGAAGAAACACCAGGACAAATCCTAACTCCAGGCTGGATGAGAGTTGCTAGTGCTCTCCTCAGTGTGCCCTTGGCTGACCCAAGTCTACACTGCAGAGTAGAGCCCGCTCTGAGGCCAACCGGCCCCTGCTCTCTCTCCCATTTCCTACTCATCACATTTGTCTGTTCTAGAAGTGGAATAAGTCCCTCAAACTCTGTCCAGAAAGAGCATCGTGAAGTTGAACAACTAGAGGGATGATCAGAACAATCAAAGAAAACATAGTACCTGTGAAGATCTGCGTGGATTCACAGACCTTGTCGGAAAAGCCAGTACAGGAGGACCTCCTTACAGAGCAAACCACAGGGACAGCTGATTGCCCAACAGATAGTACAATGGGGCTCAAACTTCAGTGTGTATTGCAATCACCCAGAGGGTGTGTGAAAACACAGAAACCCAGGGTTTCTGAGTCAGTAGCTGATGCTGATGCTGGTCCAGACACCACACTTGAAAAACCACTGTCACAGTAAATGGGCAAGAGCTGCCTGGTCTGTCATTCTCCCTGGGGGCAACTTCAGATCCTGATTCATCCCCCTTGACCCCCCAAATGGAGCCTTAAGAAAACTCAGGATAGGAATTAAACAGCCATCCCTCCCTCTCCCACCCCCCTGCCTTTCCCATACACACACCTATGCTGCTACTGGATGAGGAGAACAATTACCAAGCCATTCCTGATAAATACCACCCAGCGCTGAGTCTAGTTCTCACCTGTGTACAAGGTGATTTTGCAAAAGGAGTGAGCTACAGTGCAAAACGGAGGACACAGCTGTGCAGGAGGAGTGCTCAGGAGCTCTCCTGGTCCAGTTCTCTGCCCTGCTGCACGATCCCTCGGTCCTGGGATGAGAGTGTGCCACGGGGACAGTGCCAGGGAAATGGTGTGACCTGGTTTCCTCCTCACTCATTTATCCTGATGCTCTGCCACAATGCACTGCGACTGCCCGCTGAGGACTCACTTCATGTCACTGAACTGTTACCCCACCAGGCTCACTGACAAGCTGGTGCAAAGGAAGAGTAGCTGGTGGCCACAAACATACTACACATCTGGCGAGTGGCAGGGCACAATCCCTCAAGACCAGGATCAGAGGATTTCTGACGGAGAGGAGACCACTAAAAATATTTCTTTCCTTCCCAAAGCTGATTACATGATACACTACACTATTTTACTAACAGCAGGAGTTACTGCTACAATCATATTGTTTTGTTTTATGGGGGGGGGGGAGTTAACGGAAGTTCCTACAGAGAGCAGTGTTGTGAATAATGTAAACACTCTGGGATAGGAGCCCTTCCTACAAGTCTCTTCCCGTGGGGTTCAAATGGGAAAACCTGGCCAATATTCACCACATGTCAGCCTGACCTTTCCTGGCTACGGGACAAGAGAGGTTACATACATTTGGGGCTGCCGTTGTGGGTCTGAACACCAGCTTCAGGCTAAATAAGGAAAAAGAATGAGGAGTGATTCATTCACAGCATTTTGGTGAATATACACAGCGTATAGTGTTTGCAAATACCTGGCCTTTCAGATGATTTTGTGCACACAAATGGGCATATTTGGTGAGACAAATGTCACTTTCCCTCTCATTAAAAAAAAAAAAAATCCAACTAGCTCTTTCTCATATGCAAAACCGTGCAGTAGTTCCCAGGCCTCTGAGCGCCTGATCTGGTGTAAACCCCACGAAGTTTTCTGAGTCAAACAACATTCTCCAAAGCAATAACACCAACATAATCTCCACTTACCCCAAAATTATGAACTGACCTCAGATATACCACGTTCAAGATATGGGCCACAAGCCCAAATGGCTGTATTCAGAACATTCTAGAGCAGGAGAGCTCAGCCACAGGTGACAGTATCAGCTGGGGCCTCAAGAACACTGATTGGATAATCTTGCCCTCTCCCTACCCCCCCAAAAAAGTCCATTCATTTGCATGCACAGATGAGGCCATGCGAGAAGTGCCTTCACACCCCAGGCCCCCGGGGGTTCCCGCCCTCACCTGTTTTCCAAGAGTGTCATGCACACCACTTCTCGCACCCCAGGGTTGTTGGCCTTCTCCACTGAGCAGCCCTGCAGGTTCCAGGTGGCCAGCCTCAGCACTGGCCGCCCATCCCTTGTGCCTCCGAAGGCCTCCACGGAAGGGCGGGTGGAGATGATCTGGGTGGGCCCCCCTGGTGGCAGGTCCAGGTCCTCACTCTGCAGACTTAGTGAGGTAGGGCTGGGGTGAGGCTTAGCGGTGAAGGTCAGGCCTCCATTGGTGTGGGTAGACGGGGGCCTGGACCTCTCTGCAAACACCTGATGCCGGATCCTGTCGAGGAAGGCAGCATTGATACCGCCCATCCTCACCAGGTCCTCCACGCTGCGGAAGGGCCCATGCTCGCGGCGGTAGTCCACGATGCTGACAGCCATCTTCTCCGTGAGGCCGCGAATGCTCATCAGCTGAGCCGGGGTGGCCGTGTTGATGTTGACACGCGGGGTTAGGGGCACGGCCGTGGCAAGGTGGTGAGGCTGCTGCTCCACCAACAGGTCCCGCCGCAGGGAGCTGGGAGAGTGCTGCGCAGAGCTGCCCTTGCTGCTCACGCAGATCTCAAACTTGACCTGCTCCAGTTTGGTGGCACCCACGCCGCTGACCAGCGCCAGGTCCTCCACCTTTTTGAAGCCACCGATGTACTCGCGGTACTCCACGATGCTGCGAGCCACCGCACGGGTCACGCCAGGCAGGGTCATCAGCTCCTCCTCCGTGGCCGTGTTGATGTTGAGCCGCTCCTGATTGACCAGGATGTTGCTGAAGTTGCAGGCGGCGCTGAACTTGCGGTTATGGGACAGGTCCGAGGGGTCCCGCGGTATGGAGCGATGGCAGCCCAGCGTGCTCCCCATGCCGGCCAGGGTCAGTGGCCTGGGAAGGCCTCACCCCCGCAGAAGAACTCTCTGGCTAGGGAGGAAGCCCAACAACCTTACTGGCACAGAAGGAGGGAAGGTTCAGGATGCAGGGAATGAAACGGTTACCAAACACAAACACTAAATCTCCATGCCCAGGGTGTCCAAAAGTACCTTTCACTTGGCCACCTGGAAAACAAATTAATAAACACACAAATCGATTGAATCAGTTAATCAGTTTGCATTAGCACTCCCTAACTAGAGCAGGAGTTTTAACCAGGAGTCCCAGGCTGATGGCTGTCCGTGAACTCCTGAACACGCACGAGGCTGGCCCATATGGATTTTCCTCTGGAGAGATCTGGTTTTTGTCACATTGGGGTCCAAAAAGGCTATGAGCTGCTTCTCTTGCAAAGAGACCTATCCTCATCACTCCACATCTCTGGTCCCTGCCTCTCTCACCTCTCGCAGCCATAAGGCCATCCCCCCTTAGGTCGCCCCCATCTAGGCCCGGGCAGAGAGAGAGAGCATCTCCCACGCCCACCCCTCCTCCTGACACTCAGCACCACCTGCAACTTGGGAATCCCGTCCTTACTAGTGCAGGTACCGAGAAGCGGTTTTATCGACCCCCACCCGACCCGCCGCGGGTCCCCGCACCCCACCTCTCCGCTGCTCTCCCGGGGCGTCCTTCCACCTGCGGCTCGGAAGTCTGAGCCCAACCCAGGACTGCGCGGGCCCCCTGCCTCCAATCCTGGTGCCCGCGCGTGTGTGGGTCAGTGGCTGGGCTGCCTCGGGCCGCGCGTCCCGGCTCTTTCTGCGGGAGAAACTCTCAGAGTCGCTCTCCCGGAGCCGGCAAGAGCTGCAGGGCTGCGCGGAGGCGGCAGCGGCGGCGAAATCCGGCCGCCGTGGCTGCACCAAGTCTTGAGGCTGCACCAGGACTTGCGGCGTCGCCGCAGTTGCGTTGATCTAGGCGAAAAGTCCTGCGCCCGGCTCGGACGCGGGATCCGCCAGGACCGCGTCGGTGCCCAGCACCAGAGCCACAGCTCCAGCTCGCCGTCCGTGTCAAAGCCAAAGTCCTGGCCGCGCCGCCCGCGCCTCCGCCGGCACCACGGCCACGCCTCCCCCCGCGCTGCAACTCCCCCCCGGGACTCCAGAGGGAACGTGGGGGGCGGGGCCTGAGCGCCAGACCAGAGCCCGGGAGAGCGGAACGCCAGAGCGCTGGGGCGGGGCCCTGGAGTGCGGGGGCGGGGCCCTGGAGTGCGGGGGCGGGGCCAGAACGCGAGAGGGTGGAGTGCGGAGCCCGGGAGTGTGAGAGGCGGGGCCCTGCTGCGCGGGGGCGGACAGAGCGCGTGGGGGTGGAGATGGAATGCGGGAGCGCAGGGGCGGGGCCACGGCGGGAGGGAGGGGGCCCCGAGGACGCGGAGGCGGGATTTAGGGACTGAATGGGCGGGGCGGATGCTCAGGCAGCAGCGGCGGGTCACACCGAGGTTGCCCTCGGTCCTGCAGCTCCTGAGTGGAGGTTGCTACCAGAGACCCCGGGCTGGATATGCGGGATGGAGGGTGTTTAGTCTTGCCCGAGGCGAGACCTGCCAAGCTGCTTCATGGCAAGAAGAGCTCCAAAGACGAGAGGGGCGCCCAAGACGCAAACACTACCAGGCCACCAGCCTGAGTTTACATCATCTTTGGGGCTTGGGGCAGGATCTGGGCACTCCTTGTGGGGAAGGAGACCCTGCGTGTCAGGGGCCTCGCTCAGTTCTGCAGCCAAGCTGAGAACGTTCCCGGGGGCGGGGGGGTGGCGCTGAATTGGATCTTTTTAACTTCTGCTCCCCACTTTCCACCTCCTCTTTTCTTCCACTGGAGAATTACCTTTGCACTGCTCACAGAGAAATGTCCTCAAACAACGTTCGTAACTCACCGTGCTGCTGGGAGAGGGCATGCACCACAGATTATTTAGAGATGTGTTCGAAGACGTCGCTTAATAGGGTTGCTTGTTTGAACGTATAGCGCTCTGAGTAAATAGCGATATGTTTCTCTAAGTATTAAATCTAATCATTAAGGAGAGAGAAAATCCTAGTTGGAAATGGAGATTGCTTACCAAAATTCAAAACAGTTTTTGGATCATACCACTAAATGACAATTTAGTTAAAGATTAAAGAACCTGCTGAATTACAGCGGATACATGTAGCTAGAGTATTCGATTGAACAAACCATGTGGTGATAGTTTTGAATACTTTGACCCTGGGCATTTAGTGTCCTCTGAAGTTTCATCCCCTAACCAGTGTGACCAATGCCCCTGCTTTAAATTCCCAGGGCTAGGTCAGCAAAAACAGTAACTCTTAGGGAAGGCAGAGAGTACTTCAGATGTGAAATGAGAGGCAGCCAAAGCTTGGCAAAATGCTATTGCCTTTCTGAGGCACATTCCCCTACTGTGCATACTAGTGAGGACTTAATTGCAAGTGACAGAAATCCAAGTTACACTAGCATAAACAAAAAACAACAACAAAAAAAGAGGGGGGTCCGTGTTGTTGTGTGCAAAAGTTAAGGAATGGAGCTTATGTCAAGCATGGCTGCATCCAGCTCAAATGATGTCATCAGGACCTGGTCTGACTCCCTCCTTCTATCCCCTTCACTTACCACCCAACTCTGCAACTCCAGTACTAAACTACATCATGCCACTCATTTCCTCCTGTAATCCTGTTGCCATATGAGAAAAAAATGTTCAGGAAAAGCACAAAAATCCCTGGGAGAGGAGGAAAGTCTTTGTTGAGCAGAATGCCTTGTTGAGCTTTTGTGGCTGTGGACAGACAGCCTGGGGGCATGACCAGTTGGAAGAGAAGTAGAGAAATCACATATTTTATTACACAAACAGGACACTTTACACGGTAAAAGGGACACTACTAACTTCACTGGCACAGCAGGCATAACCTGGTTAATCTAAGCATATGTTAATCTGGTTCATCTAAACATATGTGCCCCCTTCGTAGAAATGAAGCCAAGAGGTAGCAAAACCTCTGTGCATTGAAACAAACGAAACCACAACATGATTAAATTTAAAATGACTGGCCATACCAAATGTTGATGAGAATATGGAGCAATTGAAACTCATACGTTGATGGTAAGAGTGTGAGACAGTATAACCACTTTGGAAATCAGTCTGGCAATTTCCTAAAAAGTTAAACACTCATCTACCATATGACCCAGCCACTCCACTCTTAGGTATTTACCAAAGAGAAATGAGAGCATGAAACCCAGAGACTTGTACATGAATGTTCTAGGAGCTTTGTTAAAGCCAAAAACCAGAAACAACCCAAATCCACCAGTAGATGAATGGATAAACTAGTAGTGGTATATGCATATGATGTAATACTACCCAGGAATAAGGACAAACTATTAATACACACATTATTGAAGAATCTCGAAATCATCATACTGAACGAAAGAAGCCAGGCAAAAAAATGAGAGAACATATTGCTTGATTCCATTTATACAAAACTCTAGAAAATGCAAGCTAATCTATACGCAGAGAAAGCAAATCAGCAGTTGCTTGGGGTTGTGATGGATGAAGGAGTGGATGAAAAAGGGCATAAGGAAACTGGGGGGCGTGATGGAGATGTTGTTGAAGAGGTCATGTTTTCAGGAGTGTGTCCATGTCAAAACAGAGAATTGAACCCTTTAAATATGTGCAGTTTAGTGTTCTTCGATTATGCCTCAATAAAGTTGAAAAAAAACCTTCAAAAGATAAAAAGGACTGCTCTTTGAACTAGGAGAGGAAGAAAAAGAAGAAAGTAGAGGAGGATGAGGAAGAGAAGAAGGAAGAAGGCAGGATTATTTTGGGAGGAGGAGTAGATGAGGTGTGAGGAAGGTGAGGGGGAGGGCGGTGAAGGGGAGCAAAGGGACCCAGGAAGAAGTTGAGTCTGGAGGGAACAGAAGAGAAGACCAGTGAACATGCCCAGTTAGGGATGGGGCCCCAGGAGAGGGGAATACCAGAGACTTTAAGACTAATGTCATGTCTGACAGTCCGTTTTACCTGCTGTGCTCTGCTCTGATGTAACCCCCACACTTGCCACCCTGCATCTTTAATAAGAAAGGTAATGGCTTTGAATGAGTGCTGTTCAGGAGAAGTCGGGTAAGGGAGCTGAGCCTCTCTGGTAGATATGGGATAGTGAGAAGGGGGCAGCTGAAATATGCAAGATGAGACAAAGATCCAGAATTCACTGGAACAAAATCCCAGCCAGAGTGACCTGGCGACATGTCTGCCTTTGAATCCCCACTGAGACTAGAGACTTGGCTGGGGGCCCTGCTACCCAGGGGATGGAAGTTTGAGCCAGTGTCATGTGACCATCCAAGGACAGGGAGCTAGGGCCTGGCTGACATCTGTGTTACAGGAGTCTGGCAGAGGGCAAGGGTCCCATCATTCCTGCTGAGCGCCACAGCCTGTGGCCACTGGTCCTTACAACAGAGATCTCACCTGGGGCCTTGGTCAGAGGGACAGAGTGATGGAGGTCGCTGTCCTGCTTCTTAGTTGGAGGTTTCAGAGGTAAAAGGTGATTCAGGGGAAGGGAGAGGTGGTGGAAGGGAAGGAGGGAAAGTTTTCGATGTTCAGTTTCAACATCCATGGCTCTGGAGATATGGTGATGAGGAAAACACATGATTTCTCTATTCCCAGAGCTGAGAGGCCAGTAGAACAGACATTAAATCAGTAAGAGCAGAGCATGTTAGAATAAAGGAAGGGGGAAGAGGGTACAGCTGTAAATTAAAAATAACTGAGTGTAGGGGACTTCCTTGGGAGGTAAGGATGACAACTGACAGATGAATAAGGAAAGATGCCCAACCCCCAAAACCTCAGTCCTTGCAGAGAGGCCCCATTTTCCTAGTCAACAAGGGGTTTAGCCAGGCCACTGACACAATGACACCAACACTTGTGCAATGACAGAACTAGATTCCGTCCTGAATATCTGAAGTGTGACCTCAACAGTAGGTTTGTCACTCTCCACCACAGCAGGCTTCTGTGCTCCCAAACTGATGAAACACAAGGCATTGGCAGGATTCTTGAACTTTCTAAATCAGACCCTGCCCCCCTGAGAGTCATGGCTTTTGATGGCCCAGAATGACCACAGATGGACCCCATGGACAGTGGCAATGGCTACACCTTCAGCCTTCAAATTTCTTCTGCTGCTCTGTGTGCAGACCCTCAGCCATGAACCTCACCATTAGGAGCATTCTCACTGGGTTCTCTAAATGAGTCTGTTGCTCTGCTATACAGCAGGGTATGGAAGAGTGTGACATGGGTGGCCCCCAGCCATGTTTCCCAGAACTCCTATCCCTGTGTGATCCGTTCCCATGTTGACTCTGGGCTTGGCCATGTAACTTGCTATGACCACTGGGACATTACCAAGAGGCAAGCAAGGATTTGATAAGCATTTGCCCATTGGATCTTGTTCCCCTTGAATGTTTCCTCTTAGACTCTAACTGCCATGCTATAGGGAAGTTCTGGCTCTCCTGTTGTGGGAAGGGGCACCCCAGCCCACAATCAGCACTAAGGCCTCACATGGGTGAGAGAGACCTTCTAGGACCTTCCAGCCTTGCCCAGCCACCAGCTAGAGGAACGCACAGGAGCAAGCCCAGGAGAGACCACAAGGAGCAGAGAAAACTACTTAGCTGAGCCCAGCCAACCTACACGACTATGAGACAGAATACACTGTTATAGGCTTATAAATACTGCAAAGGTTGCCTCCAAGCAATATTAATCATATAGATGTGATCCTCAGGCCTTGTTTTTCCAGCAAGAAAAGCCAATGTCATAGCTCCAAATGTAGTCCCCTTTACAATTCGTTGACATCTGTCCCATTCTTAGAGTGGTCTCACCAGGCTTCGATTTCCCTCAAGGAAAGTGGTTTGAAGGCTTTTTTTAGTTGGATCACAAGAGAATTTCACAACGCAGAGTACTAACCACTATATGATCATGGCCGGATCACAAGAGAATTTCAAAGCATTTAGGCTGCTCTCTTTTGAAGTGGTAGATGAGTGTCTTATGACAGCTGTAGCAATAAAGCAAGGTGATTTTTTAAACTATTGTATTTAAACACAATAAATAAGCATTTTTGTTGTGTTTTTTCCTATAGCTCCGTTTCCCCTCCCCCACAGCCATGGAAGACAAGCTGGAGAAGAGCAGGGAAGAGAAGTCCGTGAGTGCCCCCGTCCCATCTTTGGCGTTCCCCCAGGTGGGGCAGAGGGACCAGCCTGCAGTGAGGCCTGGGGCCCCTCCTCTTGTCCCTCGGGTGGCCCCATGGCATCCTCTATGCACAGCCGTTATCTCAGAGACTGCTTTTGAAGGCTATGGAGGTGCCAGGCATCCTCTCGTCTGAACCCTGTGAACGAAGGCTGGACAGTCAGGCACCTCTGAGCTGTTTGCGTCCAGCACCTGGACCATCCCTCACACTATCTTGATGGGCTCCATGGAGCTCATGATCTTCATGCTCCACGTAAAGTAGAGGGAGCATGCCTGCCCTCCTGACATGCTTTCTTGTTTCTATCACTGCTTTGGCTACCTGAGGTTTGGTCTTCTCCACGTGTGGCTTCATGCCAGTTCTTTCTGGCTGACCTCAAACACAGGTGCAGATGAAGGTGAAGGACCTTTCCCTTCCCAATGACCTCCTGCCGGCCCCGGCTGTAGCCAGAGGGAGAGGATGGGGTCACACCGTCAGACAAATTCTGGTGGTCAGGCATCTATCTCAACTGCCAATGTGGAAGGTGTTTCGTTTGGAGGATACAACCGGGGGGAAGCTGATTCCATCTGGGACTCCATCACTGCTTCTGGTGTGTGGGTGCTGGGGAGGCTACAGGGCCACACTAGGGGCTGTGCTGGGGTGGTCTTCCTCTCTAGGCCAGGTAGGAGACTAGCAGATGCTTTGGCTGAGCTGCTAGCCTTCAGTCCTAACTCCTGGTCCTCCTCAAGCCACTGATTTTTCTGTCTTGCAGCTCTGACTATTCTCAGAGTAGGAAGTAAAGGAGGAAGTGGCAGGCTCATTAAAATTCCACTGCTTTGGGTTGGCAGAGACGTGATGCCGTACCTTGCAGGATGAGTATAAAGGGCAGCTGTTAGTGGGATCAGCCAAAGCCTGGGCCTTCAGGGTGATGGCGTAGCCCACCAGCTCAGATCTCTTATAGGGCAGAAGCACATAGATTACTATCACTTCATCATTCTTCTGGCCCATCTCTGAGTCCTGGATCCTTTCCCGCGTGTAGCCCATGGACACCATCAACACAGTCTGCCCAGGCTCCTTGTGGTTAGGGAGTGGCTCTATGTAAGGCATTAGTTCCTTCCCGTGGTCCATGTCTGTCCACAAAAGCTTCATAATCTCCTCTAAAGTACCTCCCTTGATGGGATTGAGGACGAAGAATTTCTTGAGGTTTTCATACTCCATGGACATGTAGAAGGGAATATTGTATATTCTGTGCAGTACTCATTCTCACAATAAAGAAAAAAATTAGAAAAAGAAAAGAGATTTAAAAAATGAGAAAAAATGGAAAAGAATAAAGAAAAAAGTTAGGAAAATAAATGAAATTAAAAAATGAAAAAGACAATAAAGAAAAATGAGAAAAGTAAAAGGTTAAGAAAACAGGAAAAAATAAAAGGGGAATGTAGCAGAAAAACTTTAAATTAAAAAATTGTAAAGAAGGGAATAAAGAAAAAATAAGAAAGATTAAAAAAAGAGGGGAAAAAATTTTTTAAAGTAAGCAAAATAGACAAAAAGCCAAACAAAGAGGAAAATACTTAACTTTGGTGAAAGTCCCTCAGGTGACCAAAAGCCAGCTTCCTGAACTAGAAGGACCAAAAATCTAGACTGAGCCAGGGACTTATATAGGTGCTTAGAATTCCGTTAACAGTAGCTCCTTATGAAGTCACAGCAAGAAATGGACCTACCACAGCCAAAGATACTCCACAGTGGCTTTCTAACTTTTTTATCTCAAGAACTCTCTACTATTAAAAAAAAAAAGCCACTTTTATTTATGTGGATTATAGCAATAGATATTTGTCTTATTAGATACTAAAACCTGTAGGATGCTTCAGTGGCTTTTTCACTTCTGGTTTGAAAAGCTATAAAAAATTTTCAGTTTTTAAAAAACTCAATGTCTACACTTAAAATAGTCAATTCTTTTTTTTAATTTAAACTCCGATTTGATTGGTCTCAAAATAATACCACTTAACTGACATTACAAAACTCTACAGAAATATTCTTTTGCATGTAATTTTTTTGTCTGGTCTTGGTATTAGGGTAAAGCTGCTCTCACAGAAGCAGTTAAAGGAGTATTCTTTCCACTTCTATCTTCTGGAAGAAATTGTAGAAAATTGATATCATTTCTTCCTTCAATATTTGGTAGAACGCATCCATGATTCCATCTGGGGCTGGTGCTCTTGCTTTGGAAGGTAATGGAGACTGATTCTTCTTTGATAGGGGCCTATTCAGATGGTCTGTTGTGTAAGCTTTTTTTTTTTTTCAAAATGACGTTTTTAGAGAGAATTAATACAAACATTTCCATGACAGTAAACTAAATAAAAAAGATTGTGAAAAAAAAACGTTTGCCTGTTGAGGTTCCATTTGTCTGTTTGCAGATATGCTCAGTCGATTTGCCACCAGGTCACTGACTGCTGGAGCTTATTTCTTCCGGTGAGATACATAGATACTAGAGGAGACAGTTTCTAATCAATTTCACATGCAAACCTGCATCCGCTTTGGTTTTACTAAATGGCTTAGCATCAGCCCCCACAATAGAGCTCAATACCAGTTAAAAACAGACACCTCCATTCACAACTTCCAGGGAATTCAGAAGTGCTCCATCTCCTTCCTTCACTGGACTTGGCCTTCTCCCAGAGAAGTGGCTTGAAAGGCAGAAATGAGACTTTGGCAGCACCATTTTGCATTTCTTTGCATCAAATTTCTCCTTTAACGCTCATAGTCTACCGGCTGAGACATTGTTTCATTACATGGCTGACAAGTGAAGGCTTTTGTCATTTCCCGAACATGGCAAAGGCCTATCCAACTGGCATTTTATTTCTTATGGAGCATTTGGCTGGAGGTTATTATAGCAAAGTCCCAACAGAACGAGGTGACTTCATTAACAGTACCGCAACGGAGGACGTTTACCATCAGAAGCACTGTGTTGCCCTCCCCTTTTCCCCCATCCAGAATTACTGCTATTACGGAAAGTAATATTCATTAATCTTTCAAGGACGTGATTATCATCATCACATTTGGGAACTCTTGCTCGCATTTGCTTCATTCGTTTCCCCTTGAAAGCAACATTTCCAGCTTGTTTCAGACTTCCCTTTTTCACAGAACAGTTTATTCTTTCTTGTTTATTAAATTTGAGGGTTGATAAAAACCTTCTTCCTGGTAGAGCCTATTACTTGGGTTTCTGAATGCCTAATTAGGAGCCTTCTCCTTAGCACAGAATACTCCAAAGTCAGAACAGGCAATGAGGCAACTATTCCTATCTTAGGATAAAACATGCCCTTGGACCCTATACTTCTGGGGATGGGGTGGAGGCTCCTTCAGACAGGCCCTAGGCCAGGAGGAGGGAGCACGGCTGGCTGGAACTAGGGGAAAATGCTCTCATGCACACAGGCAGCAAGGAGACCTCACCTGCTCCTCCTCCTTTTCAGGCTCACCTGGCTACAGCTGGTCGCCCCTGTTGACCCCCTGCCAGGTTCAACCTCACTACGCACTTTCCTGGTTCTCACCTTGCCTTCTCTTTCTGACGCTTTTTTTGGGGGGAGGGGCATATTTCTCCTAAATATTGGAAAAGCAAGTCCTGGTAAGTTGGTCCCCCTCATAGCCCCACTTCCAGTAATAATTTCCTTAAGAAATAACCTCAAAGGCCTTAAAGAGCATCTCCCAAAGTGTGATCCAGTGGTGGTGAGGAACAGGAATTGAGGAGGTCCCAGACACATCATTAAATATATTGAACCCCTCAGAGAGGAATCTCTCCCTTTTCATTTCTCTGACCATCACTGCGGTTGTGTTGGGGAGAAACTCTCAGCTTGGGGCCACCATGACCAGAATATGTTCTCACATTTATTCATCTCATTCCATAAAGAAAATGCTGACCTCAGGCTCAGAATTTTGGCAGGCACCAGGATCTAGCTAGAATTCAATTATATTGCTTTCCATTTTGGGGGGTTTTGTTTTGTGGCTATCTTGTATTTATAGCAAAAGATACAACTGTTCATATAGTCATACATTCCCATGCCCAGATGGTACTCAGAGTTGGTAATAGACCATGGAGGTATACAGGAAAGGCTGCCCAGTGAAGGCTGTGTTTTAAAGGCAATGATTCCTAACCTCACAGCACCTAGGAATCCCAGGGTAGTTGTCAAAATCCCAATGCCCAGGCCCTTCCCCAGACCAATTCCATCAGAAACTCTGAGCATGGGATCTAAGTAAGGGTGTTTGTTAAGCCTCCAGATGACTCCAGGGCTCAGCTTAGAGACAGTGCTTCCAACTGATGTTAAGTCTGAGCATAAATGAGACTAAACCTTTTCTCCACGCCAGAGCAGCAGGATCAACGTCTGGAACACGAATAACCAGGGCCAACCACAGTCCTAACATCTCAGTCCAAAAAATTATGGAATTTTAGAGCTGGAGGGAATCTGAGAGCACAGAATCTAGATCTTCATTTTATCTTTGAGGCCTTGAAAGGCCAAGAAGCTTGCTGGGAATTACCCCCTAGGAACCCAGAGTAGGGCTCCTTTCCCAACATCATGCTGCCTCTCTGATGGCTATAAGGGCCTCATTTGTGGATTGATCTGGAAGAAACTACAATCTTTTTTGAGGAATAAGGTAGAGACACAAAAAGTTGGAAATTAGGCTTCCAGAAAGTACATAGGGAAAACATTATACAGAGAGCCCAAGAGGTACCATGGACATTCTTCAAAGTATGTTCCATAGTTGGAAATTGCTAGATTAAAGAAATTGAAATGAGTCTCATCACTGCAGGACTTCTCAGGGCCTTCAATTTACTAACATGTATAGGGAATCTCTGGAAGGAAAGAGTACAGGCAGCACTTACTTGCCTTTTTATGTAAACATCTCACAGAACTAGCATTTCTGGGAGAAATATTAGGTGGGCACAATTTCCTAAAGCTCTTTCCCTCTTACCCCGCTTTCTTTGTCTTAGAAGCACTTATCACTTAAACAATATTTGTTTATTGTCTGTCTCTTCCTCACTAAAATATAAGCTCCTTGAGGAAAGGGAATTTGACTCCACGGCTGTATCCCAAGCACCTCTAACGGTGCCTAGGCCTTAATCAGTATCTGTGAAAAGGAATTAATCGGTAGTCTCTTGAAACATCAGTAGCCATGACTGGTTACCTAGTGTGATTCCTCCTATTCATGGTTGTAGGTCTCTCACCACCACATTAGGCTGAATTTGGGAGTCTGTATGCTGCAGGGACCCTCACAAGACTGAATAGCCCTGGGTGAACGGCCAGGCTCTGGCACTAATGAACTCTGGGACCTTGGATAACTCGATTGACTTCTCTGGGTTCCATTTTCCTTATCAGTAAGGTGAGTGGACTGGATTAGACAATCTCCAAATGTCCTTCTCAGTTATTGTATGACAAGTGGCTAAATTAAAATATCTGACATAATTGAGGATTTTTCCATTTCTCCTTGGAGTTCTATCAGTTTTTGCTTCGTGTAGTTTGAAGCTGTTATCAGGCCCATAAATATTTAAGATTGTTATATCCTCCTGATGAATTAACCATTTTATCATTATGAAGTAACCTCCTTTGTCCTTGGTAATTCTCTGCCCTGAAATCTACTTTGTCTGATATTAATATATCTGCCCCAGCTTTTTGTATATTAGTGTCACCATGGTACATCCTTTTCCATCATTCTACTTTTAACCTATTTGTCTTTCTACTTAAAGTGGGTTTCTTGTATAGATAGCCTATAGTTGCTTCTTGCTTTTTTTACCCAATCTCTCAATCTCTGCCTTCAAATTGAAACATTTAGAACTCTTAAATTTAATGTGATTATTGATATTAGTTTTTTTAAAATAAGTTCTACACCCAAAGTGGAGCTGGAATCCACGACCCCAAGATCATGATGCACGTGTTCTATGGATTGAGCCAGCCAGGGGTCCCGATATGATCAGGTTTAAATTGACCATCCGATGAAACCAGAGGGGGAGACAAACCATGAGAGACTCTTAATCTCAGGAAACAAACTGAGGGTTGCTGGAGTGGAGGGGGGTGGGAGGGGTGGGGTGGCTGTGTGATGGACATTGAGGAGGGTATGTGTTATGGTGAGCGCTGTGAATTGTGTAAGACTGATGAATCACAGACCTGTACCTCTGAAACAAATAATACATTATATGTTAAAAAAAAAAAAAAAGAAGAAGAAGATAGCAGGAAGGGAAAAATGAAGGGGGGTAAATCGGAGGGGGAGACGAACCATGAGAGACAATGGA